AGTGCTGAGTCTGTGAATAGGGGACAGGCAGGAGGATGACATGGGCATGTCACTGGCCCAGCCTTCCCTGCCTGAGCCATCAAGGAATCAGTGGCTGCAAGAGACAAGCAGTAGTACAGATGGGATGCTGCACTGAGGAGCTGCCCTGTGTGCACCGTGGCACTAAGGGCTTCCCTTCCTGTCTGAGCCAGGCTTTTGGATAGCACGGCTCATGCCATGGATCAATGAGCCAGGCGAGCTGGGAAGGCACAGGGTCTCAGCTATGCAACAACACTGGGACAAAGTCAAGGAGAAAAATGTGTGAACAATTGTAATCTGGTGGACCACCTACCTTCTTGGGAATGGAAGTCAAGTTTTTTCCTGTTGCCATGGTCATGATGGAGCTGTGGGGAGGTTTGCCCAGGAGTGAGATGCTGGAAAAAGGTAAGTTAGTCTCTCAGTTAGAAGTTCAGGCACCAGAGCTATTGGTTTTTTGTATGTGTCTCATATTTGAACTTGGATAACCTTCTCAGACTGCTTGGTGCATTGGCATTTTTCTGGTCATTGTCTTAAGCATATGCTGTAAAAGGTGTCATTCATGGCAGCTGCACAGAGAGAGAGAGGTGATCTCCACAAGTGTGATGGGGTAAAGCCCACCCGTGGCACCTTGACCTCTGCCCCCAGTCTCCAGGCTCTCCATCACACTCCAGCCAGGGCAACAGTATCAGGATTAGAAGGTGATTTTCAGCTGGAGTTGCAAGCCCCAAGATAACAGCAGCTCTAGGGCAGCAGGCAGGGCTAACCCAGCAGTACACAAATGCTCCTACCTGTGTTTCCAAGCACCTTATCAAAGCAGGTGCTTGGAATAATCCTTGCAGCCTTCTTAGCATTTTGTGGGTGATGTCAGCTTTGTCTTGACATGGACACAGTGAGGCTGTGGGACTGGTCTGTGCATCCTGTGGGTGGGAGGCAGGATTCCACCCTGTCTGACAGACTCACCTGAGCAGCGGGTAGCAGAAACAGGAGAGCCAGACGATGTCTGTGGTACTGAGGATGGGGGGCAGCTGCACCAGGCAGGAGAGGAACTAGACGGGAACAATCCAGAGTGAAGAGCGTGAGCAGTGCTAGGACAGTCTTGCTACCCAAGATACCAGTGTCCAGTGTCCTCCCCCAAAACACCAGGCTGAGCTGGTAACTTTGCCATTGTCTAGCCCCTCCACATGACTCAGGCTGCTGGGGCAGGTGCTGCTTTTCTCAGAGGGAAAGGGTTTGAAAAGAAACCCCTAGAGGGTCTGGGAGAAGGGTCAATGCAAGCTGAGATCACACGGTCTCTGCAACTTCCCCAAACGTGCTGTGTAAACCTGACCGAAGGCCACCTTCCCCTCTTGCAAGGCTGTCCTGCTACAGCCACCCATATCCATGCTAACATGCCTGTCCTCTGAGCTAAATGCTGTCCTCAGCCAGGCCAGGACTCACCTGAATGACAACCAAGGTCAGCTGGCACTGCAGCAGGAAGAGGAAACACTTGCGGATCCCGTACGTTGCATGCCTGGCCTGGAAGGAAGCACAAGCCCTCAGAGCCCTTGCTGTGATGGGAGCAGTTACCAGCCAAGAGCAGTTCTTGGCAGGCTGGGGCAGAACATGTGGCCTGCAAGAGGAAGTGGGAGGGGAGAGGATCTGGACACATTGTAAGCAAAAGGGGAAGATCTCTAAACCTCCTGGCTTTTCTGGGGTAACACTTCTCCCTAGAGCTGCACTGTTGTGTGGCTAGGGATTTCTGCAAGTTTATACTTTATCCTGTTGATTACTATTCATGTTCTGCTGCCACAGGGCATTGTTCCCAAACCATCCCCTACACTTCAGACCGTAGGGCCGGACAGGAAGAGTATCTCTGTTGTGCTCCCTAAACAAAGGGCAGAGGACACAAGCAAAGCTAATGCTGGCAGCCTACTGTGGGCAACTCAACACAAATGCTCATGTGAGCTCCTGGCTTTGCTCTTTGTGAGCTGCAGGCAGAGGGGATGTGCCTGGCCTACCTGCTCTATGAGCCTGATGATGCTGGTACTCTCCTCTTGGCGGAAGGACATGGAGCAAGGTAGGCTGTTGAGCTGCCCTGAGAGCTGCAGTGGGGTGAGCTCATCAGAGCCGTGAGTCATGGTGGTGCTGGTGGCATAGCCAAAAGTCTCCCAGGAGCAGCGGGATGGGTAGAGAGGGTCCAGTGCTATACTGCAAGGACAACAGGGGAGCATTAGCCAAAGTCCTCATCTCGGAGGAGAAACTGTTTAACTGCAGGCCAGCCTGTAAAGTCAGGCTGTGCTGTGCCATGTCACCTCTATCTACCTTGCCTGTAGGAAAGTCCTGAGCTATGACATGAATTGAGGAACAATCTCCCTATACTTTGTTATTCCCAGAAAATAATGAACATATTTGGGTTTGTGGCTCAAGGTCAACAAACCAGCTGATCCAGAGGGGCATTTCCACTGTTTCACTCAATGCGAAGCATCTGTAATGCAGCAGTTAGCTCAGTATGTGGGAGTAACATCTTTTCAAAAATGGAGAGAAATATCTCTGTCAAGGGATCTAGGCAGTTATCCAGCACAAATTTGTCTCCCCTATGGAGACAAATGCAGCCAGTGATGGACAGAGCAATTGTGAGCATCCCGTGGCTAGGCACTCGCTAAGCTCAAGGCAAAGGCAGCGGGAGGAGTGTGGATCCTGCCCCACCTGATATCACTCTGCAGGAAGAGGCAACTGTTCCTCAGGTTGGCAGAGCTTCCCAGGCAGCAGGTCACCTCCCCGTACTCCTGCATGATCTTGATCATCTCACACATGGCTGCAAGGGGACAGCAGAAACACATTTGCTTATCTCATTATGCACACAAAGCTGCAGTGTTTTCCTTTCCAGTCTGGATAACAGTCAGATCTTTTATAATTACCCCAACTGATATTCATCAGTCCTGTAGAGTGAGATCCAAAGTCAAAGTACACAATTAGGCAGCTAATTAATTGCAGTCCAAGTGCCCTGTATACCTGCTTCCTGCAGAAACTGAGCTGGATTCACAGAACTGTGCCCCCGAGATTTGCATCTCTAGCACATCTCTATCAGACCAGGGCTGCAGGGAGAGCCAGGGTGTATAATACATACAGCCTCAGCATCAAATGGTCTTGTTAGAAAAGAGAAGAAATTAAATAAACCTAAATAATTGAAACCTGAAAAAATACACGATTTTCAATTCTGCTCAGCAGCACATCCCTCCTTTTCCAAGTCTAAAGGACCAGAGGGAATATAACAAACCACTCCAAAAGCAGTGCTGCATTCAGAGCCAGCCCCTGTTCTTGCACTCCCACCACTACCTTTAGCCTTCATCAATCTTCTTATCAACACTCTCCCAGGGCCTCTAAATCAAAGCTGCTGTTGGATTCCATTTTTCATTTAGCTTTGTGCACAGTGCTGTGTGTATATGAATATTTTAAAATGTTCAACCCACCCATTGGAGATTCCTGTGTAAGCAACTTATCTAAATGACTAGTGCACCCAGATCTGCAGCTCAGTGAGGGGTTAGATGAAGTGGGAAACTGCCACTTCTGTCAAAAACAAAAACAGAGGAAACCTACTGAGCACTGACTGCTTAGGCAGATTGGGCTGCCACTGGTTCTCACTGGCACTCTGTAAACTGTGCCCAGGGGTTCCTCAAATGCCAAATCACAATTTAGATGCTTAGAACCTCTGCTGTAGAGTGGAGAGGTATTAGCCAGCTGAGCACTCAGCCCCTTCCTGAGATGAAATAGTATCTCAGAGAGATAAAGAAATTTTGTCCTTTCTGGTTTCTGTAATGTAAAACTCTGCAAAGCAGCAGAAGGTGTTAACAGCAAATGCCAGAGGAAAATTCTTCTGGGAAGTGATTTTTGAGTTATATTAAGGCAGTGAGGGCTGCAAGCAGAGATCAAAGTCTTCTAGCACACTGATAATGCTTATTTAATAAAAGGCAGTAGCATTTTGGATGTTTGCTTTTGTGTCTCTTATGAATGCAAATTGAGAAGAGTGGTTCTTAGCCCAATTCTGTAGCTAGGGAACAGCTGCATTAAAATGCAGTTAACACCTGGCTTCCCACAGGCAGCAGTAGAGGGTCATTAATATCAAAGGGTCATTAATATCAAAGTGTCCTTCTAGATTTCTGGGCTGTATCCCCTTCCCTTCACCCACGTCCACAAGCAGATGAGCCAAAGCAAATGGATGGGGAAGGGATTCATGGGGAGTAGGATTGACCCAAGCTCTGTACCACTTACTCTCTGGGGTGCAGTCTGTGAAGAGGGGCACCAACAAAGGCACATTGTCTATGTTCTGCAGGTGAGGTCTCACCTGGTGGATCCCCCGTGGGAGTTTGGCCTGAAAAAGACAAACAAGAGACTAAGCAGGGGAGTGTGTGTGTGAGGGAAAGGCATTTCAGAGCCAACTGCTGAAATGAGAATTAGGATTCCCAGAATTATGCAACTTCATGATCAGATATGAACTGATGTCCCTGCAGACAGAAGCTGGCTTTTCCAAGCCAGTGTAAAGAGTCTTCTGTTATAGTTCTACACTGACAAGCCAAGCTGGCTGTGCTTGTCCTCAGAGTTTGTAAGATCAGCAGGATAAACTTGTGCTCAAGGTACTGTAGGGACTTTTCACCTGAGTGGAAAAATGTAGTCAGAGACTATATGCTGCCTACCATCAGTGAGATCTATTCCAATTGCAGCCACATCAACATACAGCACAGGAAGGGTTCCTGATTTTTAAAACCAGGCCAGATAGGTCATTATTTTTTTAAACCTGCACCTATCTCTGATACTCCTGTAACCTCTGCTAAGCATGTCTGAGTTCTTTGAGGCAGGAAGGGCTTGTCCTGCACTACGACTACGGGGCAGCACCAGTCATAGCTCACAGCTGGAGGAGAGGCAGTTTCTTCTGTCTGCATGAGTGTGGGGATGTTCCCACTCCCAGCCAGCACAGGGGAAGGAGACCCAGATGGCCTGAGATGCAGCTCTCAAGGCTATTCTGTGTGTGGTTATCTCCATTCCTAAATTCCTAAACTCCGAAGAAAATTAACATTCAGCAAAAGCAATCAACAGAGATTGATTCCAAACTTCCCAGGCTCTAAATAGCAAGCTGGAAGAGGGTGGGGGAAGTGAGGAGTCCCAGTGCAAACCAGTGAATCAATCCGCTTTAAAGAGGAACTCCCTTTGGTTTTAATGAGGTGATACTGCTGACCATGAGAACAGCAAGAGGTGTGTAGGCAAAGGGGGCCTCACCCTGTTACAGTCCTCCAGGAAGCTGGGGATGTCGCTGTCGGTCGGCTGAAAGCTGATGAGATCCGAGTGCCCTTCCTCTTCCATCAGCAGGAGCCCCTCCACATCATCTCGAGAAACTGGCACAGGGAGAAGCAGCATAAGCAATATGCACAAACCTGCCTCTGTCACCCCTGTGTCACCCACACGGTGTATTCACGTGGCACTGCAGAAGCCAGGAAATGTGAGGCCTGGTTTTCTAGGTTAGCAACACTTAGATCCCACTCAGTCATCTAAAATGCAGTATTTTTAGATGACTAATCTGCTCAGAGGTAGATATGTGAGCCTAGTCTCTGCTTTTGAGAGATATGACAGCTTATCTGTTCTGCTCCCTTTTCTTCTTCTAGGGGAAGAAGAGTAAAGAAATCCCACCTGAACTGAGAAAAAAAGAGCAATGCACAGGTAAGAGACCCTCAGTGGCTTGACCAGGGCCCCAGCAAGAACCAAAAGTGCTAATGAGCAGTTGTAAAACCATGGCAGCTGGTGCACAGAAGGATGTTTAGTTTCCAACAACTGCAGTACTGACTGGGTGGAAAGGTTCTAAATGTAAGGTGCTCTCACTCACACACCCCCCCTCCTCTCCGGCCCATCCAGTTTTGTGCTCAAAGCTCTGAAGGATCAGGTATCTGGTGAGGACACCAGGAACCTATGAATGGGTTTAAAAGAACCATCCAGGAAACACGTGGCATTCAAAGTGGCTTAGGCAGAGTTCTCTCACCCTGATGTAGGTCATCGTGCAGAGAGCCAGCGTGGCTGGGGCTAGAGGGAGGGATCTCTGAGCCAGGCACATCACCATTGGGTGTTAAAGATATGTGGCAATTCCAGCCGGTCTCGAGACCCATCTTCTCAGCAAACACCTGCAGGTGAGCAGACACAAGATTTTAGTGTTGCTGTCCAGGCCAAAATACTGCAGACCAGTGCCAGATTGGAGCATAGGTACCTTCTAGACCCCTCAGCTAGCCAAATCAGATTAACCTGAGATTGCACTGAAACTAAACTCTCCAGTCAGACAACCAGGGGACGTGCGAGTTCAGGGGATTCACAGAGGCAGCTTACCTTGCTTTTGAGCTCATCTTCCAGGGAGAAGTAGACAAAACGAATGCAGGCATTGACCAGTCCATCAATGAGGCGGACAATGTCCAGACGAGCCTGATACTGAGATGAGACCATTCCCATGAAGATCTGTCCACTCAGAGCCTGGATACAGTCTTCTTTCTCCATCACTTCCCCAATCCCTTCTTCAGGCATGCAAACGACATGCAATCACATTGAGACACAAGGGGCCACGTGTGCATCAAAGTACACACGGCGGGGGGAGAGGCCACCAAGATAACGCCCAAGGACCCAGCATCCAGACACAGAGAAACATGCAGATACGCACATAGGAGGGCAGGTAAAGAGAGATCCATTTGTCCCAGCATACCCAATCACAGAAGTGGTTTCAGGACATCCCCACATATGCCACCAAGGATACAAGTGTGAAACAGTGAGCATGGAAAGGAAAAAGACAAAACAGAAGACGGGGATCAGTCACAAGGAAGTGGGGCTGGAAGGTAAAGGATGTATGCTGCATAATGTTCACATGTGCATTTTAAACACATCATACTGTGCTTAAACAACATGGTGAGTCTAGATGAGGCAGAGTGGCATCAGAGCACGAGGGGCTGATGCAAAGGAGCTGGACCCTGTTCCCTCCAGCGACATCGCAGACGCTCCCAAAGAGCCTGCAAAGACTCTTTGACAGGGTTCCTTCACCACCATGTCAGCCTGTGACGAACAGGAGCTGGACACAGCAAGAGGAACAAAGTAATAAAACACTTTGCACACTTGCAAAGCGTGCCACAGGTGGGACTGAGAAGTGTTTTGAAAACACTTGGCCACAACCGCCTCTCAGCTGTTGGAAACCCCACTATTCACATTTTACAGAAAGGGAGAGCAAGGCAGAAAGAGATGAAGACCAGTTTTCCTGGAGTTATGTAGCCATATGTGCTTATTTCTCAGTTTCCATTGCTCTTCTGGAGGAGATGTACAATTCACCTAGTGGGAATCAGTTCCTTCAGCACAGCAACAAAATCCATCAAGGGAAAATAGCTGCATACCACCATACATTTAATTTCTCTGAAAAACCCACTATATGTGATTTCCATAAAATTAGACTAATAGCAAACCAAGTATCAAAATAACCAGAAGTCTTGACTCTCAGTTGCCTCCTTTAAGAAACAGACTTCCCACAAGCAGAAGAATTTCTCTGCAAGCTTCAATAACTTAACTAGAAACATACCTACCAGCTGCTTCATCAGTATTTCCTCTGGAAATGCATCTACTTCAGAAAACCACTAATTCTCAACTTCCATCTGCTACTCTAAGTAACAATGTTCTTAGAGCTCCAGACTGATGAAAAAGCCAAGGACCTTCTAGAGAGCAGAGAAGACATACCATCTGAGCTCCAGCTATTCCTCCGGCTGCTCTGTTTGATGGGGGTTGTCCCAGGGAGGTCACAGCAGGTGAAGATGGCACTCTGCCCAGGGACCTGCACCAGTTCTATGCACTTGCCATTGAGCTGGGAGGACAAGGCACAGTGCATTGGCTTGTATGCAAAGGCAGAACAGTATCCCGAGAGGCAGGCTCGCTGGTAGAAATCTAACACCTTCTTCCTGTGTGAAAGAGACAAAAAGCAGACAAAGTCAGCTGAGAAGTGCTGTATTTCTGACAACGTACACCACAGTTCAATGCAGAAATCACAAGTTGGTTATCTGGAAAAAAGTGTTTCACGAGAAGTGCTGAGACTCTGAAAAAGCCTTTCCTTACTGCTCCTGCATTCTCTAAGCTGCAGGCACTACAGGGCAATAAAAACACACATTCTAACACAGGCAGTGGTGAATGTTTCTGTTTGCTCATCTGACAGATTGAGGAGTATGAACACAGCACTCTCTGAATACACTTATCAAAATAATATGCTCTCTGTGGCTGCTAGATGACTCCAAGGAAGTTCACTGCATGGCAGCAGGAGCTTAATTCATCAGAGAGAATTTATCTGTAGGGAGATAAACAGCAAGGTGGGAACTGATAACTCTGATTATAATACCTATGGCAAAGATAGTTGCAGTAACAGACTTTTCTCCTATCCCTTTTTGCAGTTGGGGTCACAGGAGCTGGATGCAAAGTCTCTGATTCACCAATATTCAGTCACTGGAATAGTGTAAAGTTCCTTCTCTGTGTTGAACTCAGGAAGGAAACAAATTAGGCCATACTTGGGTTTTTTCATTGCCTTCTAAGATGATAAATATTCCAAAAAGAACCAGTGGGAGTTTTCTTACACCTGAGGATAAGGAGATTTAGAAGAACAATGTGCTGCTAGTCAATGATACTAAACATTACTGGTCTGCTCTGCTAACTGGAACAGAAATTTAGCCTGTAGATGAAAATGCAACAGACACTATCAGATATTGCAGCAGGACTAAAGGGTGTGATGCATTGTGGTGGACTGGTTTGGAGCTGTCAACAGCAGGCAGAATTGATCACTTTGCATTTCATGTAAGACAAGGCATTTGTCTTGAACAACAAAAATTCTCTGCCCCAAGCATATGACCTGATTAAAATTAACAATCCTACTACACAGTACAGTCAGAGTCCACTTATAAGAGGCCAATATGTTAACAGAGGCAGTAAGAAGTGCCTCAGTCTTACAGTCCAACAGATTGACTGTTGCCATCTAATCTCTTACATTGTTAACAATTAATTCTAAGCAAAGACAGTTCATGTTCAAAACCTACTTGAAGCTTCTATTAAATAGCTTAACAAGCATCAGTAAAGGGAACTTTAACAGAGTGACCAGGTTCCCTCTGCAACTTATCTGCAGCTCCTGAATGCCTTAAATGACAAAGCTGCCCACCTGTCAGAGCCAGAGAGGGGGTAGATATCGGTACCATCCCAAAAGTCTGTGCAGGCCTCGAGGATGATATCAGCTGTCCCATGAGAAAACATCTGCTCAGTGCCTGAGGTGGAGAACAATGAGTCAGCATCACATGTCCAGGCCCCCAGGAAAGGGATATCATACCAACTGCTCCCTCAGGCTGTTAAAAGCCAGTGTTCCCGCAAACTGCCTTGATGCACTCCAGACACCCTCTTTCCTCTGTTGAAAGCCTTTAGTCTCCATTGACAAATTATTCAAGACTAGATGACATGTATTTAGCTGCTAGTTGTCTGACTGCAAGTTCAAAGAAGGCTGTGAGAAAATGTGAGCCACGTAGTCAGTTCCTATTCTCCCCTTATACTGTGTAACAATCCTGCTCCTACAAAAGGTGGGATTAATACCTTGCTCCTTTATCCAACAGAGCAGAAGAAAAGATATTCCCATCTGCCTCTTCTCATGAGCATACAAGCACCAGTGATGAGCCTACGGGGATCAAAGTCTACCAGCACTGGGAATGGGATGCAGTTTTTGGCCAGGCGTGGATCTAAAGGGTAAGAGCTATTGAATACCTTCCATTCAAGAAGCAGAAAATAATTTAACAGTGTGAACAATCAGATAGCAGCCTGTCTCACAAAGGCTCCTGAAAATGTGTTAAATCAGGATGGGTCAAAAGTTCAATGTAACAGACTAAAAAAAATAACTCATGTTGTGATCAGGGAAGAATTGAAAATCGATGAACACCACAGCTTGTCCTGCTTTTTTTTGTTTCACTACTTTAGTCTTTAATACGGGCTTAAAATCAAACAGAGGTGTTAAAAACTGTTTCCCAAAGGTGTGCAACATCACTTGTCTGATGCAGGTCCCAGGCACAGGACACAAGTTAAAGTGTGCAGGGCTGTCTCTCCCTCCACAGGCCCTGCTCCCTTTCATTTGCACTGGTACGTTAACATTGCATGCACGTAGGCTCCTCTGTCTAGGCTCCCTCCTCCAGCTGCTCTCTGACTTTGCCCCCAACAGCTTCAAAGCTGATCTAATGAAAAAAACATCACTGCCAAGAAAAACGAGCCCAAAGACTTCTTGGAGGCATTGTTGCTGGCTGCAATTGCTCACACTAGCTGGTGAAATCAAAAGCCAAGAATATCCACTCGTGCAAACCAGGCAGGGACCTTCAGAAACACCAGAGGATTTTCCAAAACACAGCAGCTCTCTGCTTTCTGCTATAAATAGTCATCACACGCCAAGTTTATCAGCATAACAAACTTCCAAGGCGAATATGAACTCCGTGTGAAAGGAGGAGCCTGTCTCAGGGACACAAAGGAGGACTTGTGCAGACCTCTGGTTAATTTTATTGTATAAACACCTCATCCTTCCCACCTTGCTCCTGTGGTCGGATAGTCCTTCCTAGGAACTACAGAAAGAAAGAGGTTTATTGATTCAGGCAAAACCTATGCTCTGGATACAGAGCTTGCAGAAGACCACGTGCACAGACAGAGGTACGTTCATGCCTGATAGCAATTGCAACCCACTTCCCATTCAGTACCATCAGCACCCCCCATGACAACCCTTCTAGGGGGTGGAGGACAGTGACAGCACGCAGGATAAACTGGATAAACTCAGCTGTCACTGCCAGTAAAGTGAGCTCAGCCTCTTCCCTTCCTACATGAATGTGAGCACCAGGATTTCTTTGGCACAAAGGAGAAAACTAATGAGCAGGCCAGGGAGTATGAGTAGCCATTTGTGACTGCTGGGGCTCATCAGGAAGAATCAAGCTGAGCCAGGGAGGCAGAGCAGAAGGAACTGAGGATTGCAGCTACAGCAAAAGAAGACAGAGGCGATACCAAGCCATTTTCCTCCCCTGAAGATGCAGTGAGCCCCTCATTTCCATGTGGTTACTGTGGATTTGGGATGAACACTGCCAGATGGCGAGACACGTATTTCAATGGAATCACCAGGGAACAGACAGATAAGCTACCTCCCATTTCTGCTACAGCAGGAGAATTTATTATGTATCTGACTTCAGCACATCATGAGAGTGGGTAGATTCGAAGATTTATTCACAAATAATTCACAAATCAAGGGAGGTTAGTTATGATCATCTGGTCTGACTCTTCTGTATCAACAGACCCATTTGATTTCACCCCATATTATCTGCATAATCCATTATTTCTGGCTGTACAGATTTTAGGAAGTTTCAAGGGACAGGACTATCACGTGAGAGGTGTTCCAATGGTTAACTAACCCCACGGGCAAAATTCTTCTTAGAATTTACTCTAGACAGAATAATCCAGGTCACACACGTATTCGTCTGAGCTCCAGCCTCTAAACTAAACCGTTTAAAAATGGGGATAAGGAGTTGAAATGAGGCAACATGAAAGGTTTTTCCCTACGTTAAGAATCTCAGCATCAGAAAAATTCTTGCTCACAAAGGCAAGATAGAGGCAATCAGGACAAAAGAAAAAGCTCCTCCTCAGATGAAGATAGGAATTTAGGAAGAACTGGGCAAGAGAAGACAGTTTACCTGGTGAATCTCTGGCCAGCTCAATAATCATATTTCTGATTCAATACTGAACATATGTTTACTCCAGAGAGCCAAGTACAGTCAATTTAAGGTATTACAAAGAGACTAAGAGCTCGGACAGGCAAGCTGCTCAATCCTGCTGAGGTGCTTTAAGGCCTGCTGGTGCCCAGCAGTATGGCCCTGCCATCCCAGACCATTCCTACTAGAACAGGAAGGAGGAGCAGCGGAGGTCAGCACAGCTTCAGGTGCTATACTCATGGTCACCATGAGCTAGCACAGGATTTCTGTGATTTCTTATTAATATGCAAAATAGAAATAGAGTATGCAACAGACAATTCAAAACGAGAACAACTTATTATTTGGGTTCTCAGAAGGATGAGCATCACTAGCTAAAACCCTGAGTAATATTTAATTAGTATCAGTTGCAGTATCGGTTCCACGACCATAACGAAGTCTATTCAAAACCCAATAAAACCTCCACCTTACTAAGATAATGTAAAAAAAATATTTTTGATTCTGGATTTTCCCCATGGAAAAGATCCTCCCATACCGAGTGGATGCCCAAAGAAAGGGGCAGCCTTACTGGTAGTGGTGTCCTTCACGAAAAGGTTAATCATGTGGCTGAGGGGTGGTCTCCTCTTGGTGATTGATGAAAGCTTCCCTAGGATTGTTTCCTTAACCATCTCATCACTTGGCAAGCGGTACAAGGCCAAATAGTTCTCCTGCTTGAAAAGATCTTTAGCACCTGGTGTGAAACCTGAAATGTGAACAGAAGGAGCAGAAAAACTGACTCTAACCAAAGCAAAAGAAAGGTTCTCCCTCCTGCTTCTCTGCCACCCACTTTGCCTAAATCCATTCTGACAGCTCCCAGCAACAGGTAGGTGAGCTGTGCTCACTGTGCATCCTCAGGAAGATGGCTCAAGATCTGTGATGAAAAAAATTGAGGAGGACTCAATGTTATTAGTAATGACAGCTTTCATGCTTCTGGTTCACTGAGGAGAGCAACTATGACATTGAAGGTCAGGCAGAGAACTGAGTTCAAGAGCTTCCAGAGTTTAATCTTAGTGTTACCTCTAACCTCTTTTCTCTCCTATGCCTCAGTTTCCCCACCTATAAAACAAGCTGAGGTACTTCACATCACTTAAACTCCTGGTAAAGCATCACTGTAACGACAGGGCAGCTATCTCTCCAGTAGCAAGTATTCTTTTCCTTCTGATGAGATTGGCAGACTCGAGCCAGAATACCAAGCCCAGCCTGGGCTGGCTGGAAATATCCTTGATGACATTTGGTCCTTTGATAGTGTCTACAGTGTCAGAACTTGCCAAAAGCAATCTCTTTAACAGGCTCTTTTGGCAACCAACCAACAACAGTCAGCTCTGTAATTCCACCTTCTCAGAACCAGGACTGGGGAAATATTTTTCTTGTGCTCTCTAAGGATTAAGTGTCTATTGACAGCTCTGATTTCCCTGTCTGCTCATCCGATTTCTCCTCACCTATGAGCCTGGCGAGCTCGCAGAGGCCCCAGGGCACGTGGACAGGCAGCACAGCACTGTGAGTCTCCTGGAGGGCGATGTTGCAGAGGTGGTCAGAGAAGCGGCACAGCCGCTCCGTCACGCTGGCGTTGCAGAGGGTCAGCAGCACATTCAGGCCCAGAGGCTTGAGGGAGTTCAAGTGTGTATGCCAGTTGGAGTCATCAAACTGGATGCAGGAGGGGTTTTGTTGGTCTTGGGACAGGCTAAGCATCTCAAGGTGGTAGTCACACACAAAGTCTTCAGCCTCACAAGCCACCACCTCACTGTCACCAACAACCTGGCCCAACAGACAGGAAAATACTCACAGGTTACAATGAATACAGCTTAAGCCTAGAATCCTGCAGGGAACTCCCAGTTAAATTCCCCAAAGGGGAGACTCTATGGGTTTAAGTCTGTCTTATAGCTCCACAGAAGACTACCTGTGTGCTCCTTCAGTATGTCTTACCTGAGCATGTTCCTCCTCTCCACCCTCCGTGTCCTTGCTAAAACTCACATTGGACCCAGAGGGATGCTTGCTTCTGCTGTTTGGCTTTCGGTGGGCATGGGCATCAGGGGCCTTTGGAGGGTCACTAGACCAGTTGTTCCTCTCTTGCTCATTGGCCATGTGGACTGTATCTGCCAGGGGGCCAGAGAGCAAAGCATCTCTCTCATGGGGCTGCAAGAGACCAACAAAAAAACCCACTGGTGATTCAGTGGTCAAATGTGAGCCACTGCTGATTCACCTGCTGTTTCAGGACTCCTGTAGAAGAGGATCTCATCCTTGCTGCCTCTTTATCTTTTAAGCAAATTATGGCACGGGACTTCTCTACAAGCAAAGGGCCCCCTCTGTAATACCATGTTGTTTGTGTCAGCCAAACTATTAAAGCCAACATACTACATTATGGATTACAGATCTCTCACCTCGTCTTCCATCTCAGGATGGCAGAAGGACCGTGTAGAGAGCTCATCAGTCAGATCTTCATGGCTATCATGAGGTGGTTCCACCTTCCCACTGAAGAACAGAACAGTCTCTGGGCTGGGGTTTGGCCAGGAAAGAATCCCCTGCTTGTCTACACAGCAGAGCACCTAGAACACCCCCAAGAAAGCAAAATCTCAGTGAAAACATGTCTCAGGGTTCCTGTTAGTTGAAGATATCATAAGTCTAATAAGCAGATGGGAGCACAGACAAGGCCCTCCTTTGCCAACCTCCAGTCTTAAGCAATTGCACCCAATAACCCTCCATGGAGTCTGAGAATTCCTTCCTTTAGCAGGATTGATGGGCTGTTTAACACCAGTTTAATCTCAGGATACTGAAAAACTAGGCATGAAGACTATGGAAAGGAAACAACTACTCAATCTGTTTAAATAGCTAGTACCTTATCAGGACCTGAAACAACTGGCTCTTGAACAGGAGTCAAGAGGGTTATGGGATCAGAACTAGAGCTAGAAAACACAGCCATCCTGTTAGATGTCACAGAGTATCTCTAACCATTGTTTTAGCCTGGAAATATGCTGCTGGGACAAGATAGTTTTAAACTCTTCTACAAAGACAGGTGCCTGAAGGGTTGCAAATTCCAGCGCAGGGAAGTGACTGCTAACAGTCTGTGCTCAGGGAAGGACAACACAAATGGTGATAATGAAGCATCCATGTAGGGCTCCTCCTCCTGACAACCCAGCCATACTCACAGTGACAGATCCCAGACTATGGAGCAAGCTGGAAGTAAAGCTCAGAGTTGGGGATTTGCCTTTCACAACACAGAGGAAGTGGCTCCAGATGCAGCGTATCATTTCCTGCCAAGGAAAGCAGAGGACATCAGCCAGTTAAAGACCCACTCAGTGAAAGATGAGGGGAGAGAAGGAAAAAAGGGAGTATGACATTACCTGCATTCAGGTTCAACACAGTGATACACTGTAAGTTTAACATCGGGCTCCGTGGGAACCTGTTAACTGATACAGTGCTGATGTTCCCAAGGGAAAGGCATTCCTTCCCCCTTCCAGAGGATGCTAACAGACAGTCTGATTGTTGAATTCAGAATTCACTGAAAATACCTTTGTCTATCCAAAAACACAGCAAGTGATTTCATTTGGAGTGAATCAGTTGTTTCCTCTTAGCATTTTTTACTAAAGTAACTCCCATCCCCTTGGATTATTGAGTTTGAGGCCTTAAGCTTATGACCACCACGCTGCAAATGGGGTAACTGGAGTCACTGTGGTGAGGTGACTTGACCAAGGTTACTTACTGAGGCAGTGACAACGTTGGAAATAAAGCCAAGGTGCTCTGACTATGCCATCATTACAAATGAACTGTAATCAACACAGTAATAAACTGAAAGAAGGGGATAGTTTGCAAAATTAAAATGTCAAGTTGGCACTCTTCATCTTCCACAGGAAAATGTTTCACAGGGAGTCTGGATGACAGCAATCAACCCAAGCACCAGAGCTGTACATTTTTGTACGTGCACTCCTAAAGCCAGCAAAACCAGGTTGGCATTACAGTGTGATTTTACTGCTTTTTAGCTGCTGTTTTGTAATGCTGTCACTGCAGAGCACTTCCCCAAAGCTCCTTAGATCAAGACCCTTAGATACTAAGGGTCAGTACAACCATAACCTCAAATGCAAAACAATCATGAGCTATCACCAGGAAGAAAAAAAGCTCTTATTTAAACCAGTTTCTCAAGCAAAAATGTTACGAGGTACAAAAAGAAAGAAGCATTTTCAACAAGGAAGGTCAGCTCAAATCGCTCCCATTTAACACTGGAAAAACATCTCAGTTAAATGATGAACTGGCACAGAAAGACAACAAAATACTCAGCAAAAGAAGCCTGTGTGTGCATCCATGTGCACTTCTCTGTGTGACTGGGAGCAACTGATTCTTATAACATCTAGGGATTTTTAATCACTCCTGGAGTCCATCTGCCTCCTTAGGGATACAGGAATCTTAAAGCCAGATTAGAGAGAAAAGTGTCTTTCCTCTGCCCACCTCTTTAATCTGGATGATGCAATTTGTAAAGTGGCCAGATGCAGTTCCTCCCTCAGAAAAAAAAGGTATGCTGAATGTTTATGTGCCCCAGCTTTGGAAGCACTAGTCATGTACTTAAGCTTGCTAAGGAGCCTATGGAACAGGACCAGACTTTTAAAAAGCCCAGACTTTTGAGCATCCCATCCTCCCCCCTTCACTTTTGGCCTTGGTGCTGACAGCCATCCCCTCTGTTCTTTAGTTTTGGCTTGAAGAAAAGAGTTTTTTCTGGTACAAGCAAAATACTTCCCTTCTTTCTGACACACACCATAAAGAGTTTATTTTACTCCTGGAACAGGAGCACTTGAAAGAAGTACTTTCCTCAGGACAGAAAAAGTTGATTTCAAACCATTTGCAATATTCAGAAAAGCACAACTGGACTCAGTATCAAAGTCACCTCAATCTCTGGTCAGCAGAGCAGCCATTTACATGGGAAGATGTATGGAAAAGACGTGCAACCTGCATGCATAGCAAATTAAAGCAGCAAATGAGTGACAATGGACAACTGACACAAGTATAAAGGGTCTAGGAACAAGCAGGAGATCAGAGAGGAAGGGAAAGGATGTAATGAAGTTCTGCAGTGAAGATGGAAGAAAACAATTCATAATAATAGTACCTGAGAAGATACCATCTCTGTGTAGCTGCTGAGAGTGTCCTCTGAAAACTTAGCAAGCTGCAGCAAGAGAAGAGACCAGTTACTATAATCGTGCTCAGAAATGTGTCATGAGGAACATGCTTCCCTAAATACCGGGCCTTCAGAGAGAAGAAAGCAGGAGTCCTACTCTGTGGGAATTGCTGTACCAAGGCAGACCAATAATTCATCAAAGCAATTAAGTCTTTAATGGACTACATCTGTATCTACTTGTGAAGCACAGTCAAAGTGCTTGGTGCTGTACACCACAGAAGAGCCCATGTCATTACCTAAACGTCTACAGAAAAAATAATAGCAATTAGACCCAGAGGGGGCACTTTCTAGGTGGCTATTTTTAGACAGAAAGAGCCAGGATTGACTGATCTGCTTTTGAGCTATATGGGTCAGTTAAAAGAAGGGAGTTAGAGGAGTGGTTGTAAAAGCAGGTGCCTGGAACACGAGGGACACGGACGAATGAGGTGATATGAATGGGGTGTGGATAAGAAATGAAAAGAAATAATAGCAGGCCACTATCATGGGGCTCTTGGAATTACACTGAGGAATTTACTGAAGTAAAATCTGTGCATCCAGCACAAAGGAATTCCTCAGCAGACATAATTTTGAAAAACAGTTAATTTAAGTACATTCATAAGTGACTATGGCACACACATTTGTATGTAAATAAAATGTCACCCCAAATAGTAATGCACGTATCTGTCCCTTTAAAAAGGATCAGTTTAACAAAGCTGAAAAAAAGCCAAGACAAATTTGTCAGAAATAATTTAAACTGATACCTATGAAAGATAATTAGGAATTGTTTAACAACAGTTTATGAAAGTTTTAAAAAGCGACATTCCCATAGTAAAAATAAAAAACTCCAGTTCTGAATGGAAGTGAAAACAGAAGTAAAAATTAGCATAAAGTAAGGAAAAATATACCAGTAGGTAATTAAAACCAGCCTGCTGCTTGTCGAAGACAGTGAAAGTATAAATGGTATTGCAGGCAAGGCAGCCCTGCTAAATAAATACTGCTCTTCCTTATTCAGTGATATAATCATACCATATGATAATTATGAAATATTTTCCATTCTAACACTAGCTACTGAGAGTAAATATGTTTAAATTAGTAGGTCTGGACAACTTTCCGACTGTTACTGCTGATTTTGCACGAGGCTTGGGGCATGGATTACATCCCAGTGCAATGGAAGGAAGTTAACGTGGTGCCAATGCCTAAAAAGGGGAAGGAGCACAAACTGAGTTACCACAGGACCCCAGACAGACTCTGATTTCAGCCAGATTAACAGAGCAGCTAATATGAGACTCCATTAGAAGAAAAGAAGTGGAATAATACAACCAGTGCCAAACACCACAAGTATATGAGTAATAAATCTCATCAAATTATTGTGATATCTTTTTAGACAAAATTACAAATTTGACTGACAAAAGTAATGCTTTTGACATAGACCATTTGGTAATTTGACTTGATACAAAATGCTTTCCTGGTCTTATAAAAAAATTCTAGAATAACACTGGAGAAATAGGGCCCATGTTAAATATATTAGAAACAGACTACCTCCAAATGGAACAGAAACTGAGGAATTATTTGCAATAGGATGTGTTATTAGCTCAAGCAGATACAAATTCTGGTACAAAACCTGAAAGAAAACTAAAAAACCATTAATGATAAAGGCTGTAAACTATATAATGTCTGGGGCAGAGTCCAATAATAAAGAGAACAAACCACTGTTATGGAGCAATATGGACTGCTTGGTAAATAAGCAAAAACATGCATACCAACAGGCACAGAAGTAAGGCTGCATACCTAGGAGCAAAAATGAAAAGTGGACTTACAGGACGAGGACTCTTAGTAGTAATTGTAGCTCATCAGCTGAACAAAGCCTGGCCATTTAAAGCAGTGGCTAAAAGACCTAATATGAGCCTTTGTTGTACTAACAAGGGAACATAGAGTAGAAAGTCCAAATTATTCTGAAATTTAGTACAAGCACAACTGTTACTGGAACATTTTGTGGGTTTTGGAGATTCATTAATTCTACAGTGATCCTGAAGCACTGGAGAAAGCTAAAAGGAAAGCCAAGAGAAAGATCATAGGGTCGGAAAATACGCTTATACCGATTCGAGGGGCTTCAGCTGTTTATTTAACCAAAGAGATGGTAAAAGGCAACGTGAATAGCTGCAACAGACCAGAAATGTGACTGACATGCTTTTAAATCTAGGAGACAAAAGATGTAAATGTTCCAAGTATTGGAAATCAGATACTACAAAAATTCCCACTCAGACAAAATGCCCATTTCTAGCAATGAAGGTAAATCATTAGTGAACCAACCTATCAAAGATGGTACAATGTTTTCAAACCAATATCAAATTCCTTTCTAAAAGGAACGCTGCTGTGGTCCAACTGTAGTAATGCAATTTGAGGCAGGGTCTCATCTGGGAGTGACACTGCTTTGTGTCCTGCAGGATGTCTGACTAACCAGGCTCAAGGGTCACCTATGGCCTTGAAAAACTGGGAATAAAGCAGCTTGAACATGACGGGAGAGGACAGAATGTGGAGAAGAACATCACACAGGCCAAGTGGCTGGAGAGGAAGAGGGCCTTACCTGCTACATTTTGAACAGAGTAGAGAGAAGGAAGGAGTGAAATAGAGAGGCCAAGAGAAGGCTGCCCTAGTCAAGAGGGAGAATGACCAAGGTATCACAATGGCTGTTCTGCAGCAGCAAGGATGGAGGATCATGTTTGAGATGTCACAGAAAGAGCTGGCTGGACAGAGTGAGTTGCCTGGACAAGAAAAAGGAGAAGATAGGAAAGAACACAAGGAAGGTGCAAGTATGAGTGACAAGGCAAATGGATATGTTGAGAATGAAGCAGGGAAGCTGATGTGTGAAGGGAAGGAGCAAGGCTGCAAAGACAGAAACCAAGTGATGCTGAGAATGAGTGGGAAAGGTAAAGTGGAGAAAACACTGAGAAGAGATGGTAAAGGTGCAAATGACACTAAGGAAGGGAACATGTCCACACTCCAAGGACACAGGCAGCTTAGTCATGTACAACCTAAAGGAAAAAGAATAGAAAACACAGACCCAGGGCTACAGAGGCCAAGAATGGACAAGAACAGGAGAGAAACTTTGTCTAAGTACAGGCATAACAGAATTCAGCACAGAAGACAAACGTAGCACAGTGCATCTCACCAACACTGCTACCAGAAGAGAACAAGACACCCAACAGCACATCCAGTTCAGGATCACACACCCATCAGACTACCAAACTCCACTCCTGAAACCAGCACAACCACCAGAAATTCCTCTTATTCCCTGATCCACTGCCCCAGAGTCTCAGGAAAGGGCTGTTCAGCCCACACGTTAAACAGGGGATTGCAGAGGATCTCATTTATCCAGTTCCTTCTCAATGGCTGAACATTCTCCAGTTATAGTCACCACAGAGCATTTATCTCCATGTTGGCCTCTTTGACAGATTATATTTAGGTGATAGAAAGCACATGCCTTGAAGAGATTTATAGAATCACTGGAGCTGCTATCACCTTGGGATAGCTGTAGACAGGTTGAAAAAATTAAAACATCTGTTCGTGAAGCCACACTGTGCTCCAGGGACAGGGCATAGCTGGGAAAACCAAAGATCCAAAGCTTATACAATTACGTGCACACATCTGCTGCATTTATTGTGCTCACATCACAGAGCCCTTCTTGTCTCCTGGAATGGTTTGACGTGGAGAGATACATACCAGTGAGGTGGATGAGGCCTTGCTCATCTGGGCCAAGACTCTGGCTTCTCCAAAGGCTGTAGCAAGAATCCACAGGACAGGAAATAGCAACGGAAGGATGGGGAGGACACCATTCACCTGAAAAAAACATTGTCATCACCAGCAAGTGCAGAGACAATAAGAAGTCACACCTCCCATGTCATCTTTTCCACCACAGTGAGAGGATGGGCAAAAAGCAAAGGCAGGAAGGAAGGAGACTGCGTGCACTGGAAGCAGCACAACACAGGGAGAAGAACAGGAGGGGAGACACTCACACCCTTAGGTGTTATTAAAGAAGAAGGCCACGAATAAATCACACCAACTTGCA